ACATACCTTTCTCCAACACAGCAAATCTCCTCCGATACACTCAAAAGTCGTATATAATAACAATAACAGTAATGATATCAATAATAGGAGTAAATTAACACACATACATACCCAAAATTTCCTGAAACACATTGAAATTTACAAACCTGCAGTCACCATACGCACTGACACCACCAACTTCCGCAAGACCAACTCTAAATCTAATTGTTGTAACTTAAGGAAGGTTACTGAATAGAATAATCACACAAAGGTTGGTAATGAACGATAATACTTAGGACAAGAACAACACATATAAGATTCGCCAGCGGCGCGTAGAAGTAGTAGTCAACTGCTAGAAGTGAGTCAAGTGAATTCAACAATGGATCACCAACTGCAGGATATCTACCAACCGCCCCACGCGGTTAGATGTGGCACAAAGCCGAATTTAATGTGGGGTATCCGAGCCTGTAGGCTCGACCAAAAATTCCCCGTAGACCCTGTATAAAACGGGGTCGGATAGCTGTTTCCCGAGACGGGACTCTGCCCTTTGACATAGCCTCGTCTGGGGACCCTCTCCGCCCGGAGGCAGAGTGTTTGACCAGCACAGCTGGAAATGAATCTCCAACGGCTGGTTAACATACAGTATTTACTACTGTATTTATGTGAATGGGGACATACCCATTATCGTCCGTAGGTATGCTATTAACATTAATAGAGACACATACACGAACACATTTCCCATTCCTTTCCAATGGCATTTTCAGATACACGTACACACACACACACACATATACACACACAGGCACACACACACACACACACACACACACTAACATATATACACACAGACACACACACGCACATACACTGACACATATATACATAGGCACACACTGAGACGCACACAGACACTAACGCTGCTATATAAAAACGCGTGAGATCGACATTTTTACAATGATTTTCACACTGTTCAAGGCTCAAGAGCCACACGAAGTAGAGGGTTAGAGAAGACAAGACTCCAGCCCAAGCAAGAAAATGACGTCACCAAGTCACAAGGAGACACCGTGAGTGAAAGAAGGAACCGGAAACCCAATCCTATACAAGAAGCCAGGGATAAGCCTCTACAATATTCAAAAGACCAGAGAAGAGTATGAACCGGAGTTAAGCAATGTTGAGCCTGGTCAGTACCTAGATGGGGGTCATTTGGTATGTGCAGGTAGTGTAATGTTAATCGGAGAGCGGAGTTCCAATTCCGTTTGGGTTCGTTTAATTTGCCAAATAGCCTTAGAAAATTTATGAATGGAACTCTTCCCTCCAGCTAGGAGTAAGATTTGTATCCCAAAAATATTATATTCTTACAATCTAAAATGTTTTCTGGTTTTAGATAACCTGCAAAAGGTTATTTCAACAGGATAGGTAGATAGATACATAGTTAGTGAGTTAGTTAGTTAGATAGATAGATAGATATATATGAATAAAGTGTAATATATATATATATATATATATATATATATATATATATATATATCAATAGGCTGAAATAGATATTTATAGACTGGGCTAGACAGATAGATAGACAGACAGACGGTGTATATATATATATATATATATATATATATATATAGTTTTAAGGTGTGCCATATTTATGGGATATGGTGCTCAATATCAACGTGCGTAAATATAAAAGTGAACGTTGAAGTCAACACTTAGAGGCGACAGGCTGTTTCATGCTAGGGGTAATCGTCAGGCCACGTGGCCTGATTAATGCGTCTAGCATGGAACAGCCTGTTAATTTCAATGTTCACTTTTATATATATATATATATATATATATATATATATATATATATATATATAAAGAAAGAGAGAGATGAATAAACTGGGACTGGTAGATAGATAGATAGATAGATAGATAGATAGATAGATAGATAGATATAATAGACTGCTATATATATATATATATATATATATATATATATATATATATATATACAGTGTAACCTGGATATAAGAGACCCGGATATAAGAGAAACCCGGATATAAGAGAAACCCGGATATAAGAGACTTTTCTCCGATCTCGACAACTCTCTTATATCCAGGTTACACTGTATATATAAATAGAGAGAGAGAGAGACAGATATATATATATATATATATATATATATATATATATATATATATATATATATATATATGAACAAATTGGCATAGGCCGTAAAGAACGAATCAATCAAGCTATCAATTCTTTCGGATGTCCTGCAGTTTTCTTTTTGTGTTTGCCACCAATACGATGTTATCTGCGAACCTTATAGTTTTAAGCCTTAGTCCCATAATAAATCCTGATAGGACACCTCGTTCTCATTCGATTGTCTCGCTATAATGGTTGAATAAATCCGATCAGAAGAGGCTCTTTTCATTTTTTTTTTTTTTTTTTTCTTCTCAGCCTGTGAACGTCTTTTGTTGGGGCGTAGGTCTCCCCCCAGGTGCATGGCCAGGATTAGGACATTACACACCGCGCTGTTGTTAGGGGGGGGGGGTAAATGTGACGCGCTTGGGAGATCATGTCTCTTTTCGATTCATCATTGCTCAAGAGTATTTGCGCGTAATTGAATATAACAAACCCGACTGGAATTCAAACTCAGCACTTCGATTTCACATCCCGAGAGATTATCTATTACACCACACGTACATCCAGGCTTGCAGCTTTTATTCACCCAGCCAGGTACTGACCAAGCTCGATTTTGCTTAACATCGTTGATCGCGCGGGATCCGGTGTTTCAACATTATACGGTCGTAAGCATAATTTGTTAATGTATATTCTCACAATGTATTTTTTTATTCGTACGCGGGTAGTTATTTCCCAGTATATGTTCAAATATGAAATGATATTCCAAAAGTAAATCAGTCAATTCCAAATATAAATAAATATATCAAAACTTTCCTAGCAACTGCTAGGAAAGTTTTGATATATAAATAGATCTTGGTGTCACATATTCAAATATTTTGCCTGATGCAACTTTTTAAGGAAAACTATTAAATTTTAAAAGTAAATACTTACGGCCAATTTACTTTTTATAAGAAATAAATAAATCAATTCCAAATATAAATAAATATATCAAAGCTTTCCTAGCAGTTCAAATAGTCTTTGTGTCGAATATTCAAATATTCTGCCTGATGCAACTTTTTAAGGAAAACTTTTAAATTTTAAAAGTAAATACTTAAGGCCAATTTACTTTTTATAAGAAATAAATGAATCAATTCCAAATATAAATAAATATATCAAAGCTTTCCTAGCAGTTCAAATAGTTTATTCAAATATTCTTGATGCAACTTTTTTAGGAAAACTTTTAAATTTTAAAAGTAAATACTTAAGGCCAATTTACTTTTTATAAGAAATAAATGAATCAATTCCAAATATAAATAAATATATCAAAGCTTTCCTAGCAGTTCAAATAGTCTTTGTGTCGCATATTCAAATATTCTGCCTGATGCAACTTTTTAAGGAAAACTATTAAATTTTAAAAGTAAATACTTACGGCCAATTTACTTTTTATATGAAACAATAAAATCTAATGAAAATGGAATTAAGACTGTTTACACGCACTTAGAATGTGGGGTGTTTGGACAAACATTAGCATACCAAATACAACTTTTTATAAAGGACTCCCATATTAATATTTATTATTGCAGTATTATCGGCGCAAGGCCGAGTGATTAGAAAGTTCGAATCGTACCATGGTACCATTCGAAAGTTCGAATCGTACCATCGTACCATTTGATTTCTTGATATATTAGGTCTGCGTAGGCGGTCCGAGTGTGCCTAAAAACACTCAAGATTTGTTGATGAAATCAGATGGACGGAAAGGTTGAGAAGTCGTCGATGATTTTTGCTCGGACGAGGTCATCATAGCCGAGAGATTGAGCACACTCGTCTTGTTCAATGTGTTGACCAGACCAGATTATACGCTGTCCACAAGAAACTGTAACTAACATAGTTTCAATATAAAACACTTGTTATCTTTGTAGGTGTTGAACTGAAAATGTGCCTGAGGAGGTATCTGAAACGGGGATTGTCTATCTGCCTTAAGAAACAGGTCCGTTTGGAAATGAGTGACCGGTCGTTATTATCATCGAGTTATGTTACTGATAGACTACGGAGTTTCAGTAAACTTTAGTCTAAGTGGATCTTACATGCCTTCAAATGTGGTAGATCTTTTGCTTCCCAAAGACCGACAGAAAAGTCCTGCACCTGGCACCAATTTCAGCATGTCAAAGATAATCAAAATAAAGTGTTTTCAATGCAATTGCTTGGAGCCGAAATCTAATTTTTCCAATAAACAAGCCCATCCTTATGTCGGAACTAATATTTTATGAAGCAATTATCGATTCTGCATTTCGAAAATGGCGATCAATATTACGAGAAGAATCCACATTGAAAATTTGAAACGCACACATACACACACACACACATATATATATATATATATATACATATATATATATATATATATATATATATCTGTATATATCTCTCTCTACCTCAATATATATAGAGAGACAGAGGGAGAGAAAGAGAGAGGAATATAGATAAGTACACACACACACACACACACATATATATATATATATATATATATATATATATATATATATATACAGAGAGAGGGAGAAGTATATTTAGGCAGCATATCTTCATTCAAGCATGTATGATTGAGTAATCTGGACATATATTTAATATTATTTTAATTCTCTCGAATTCTCGCATCAAATTCTTACTGTAGATACCAAATTCATTATGGAAGCAGCCGTAGTTTTTTTTTTTTTATTTCTTTTATTTTCCAAAGGACTTTCAATTTCATCCAAGATCATGTTGAGGGGTGAATTTCTAAGAGAAAACATTAATGTCATTGATAGCTGTGATGTTTTTTTGTAACTGTGTTATAATTATAAAGAAATATGACTGCGATCCGTTATGTGAAAATTAAATTTTAAAACTATTATGTTTATCTAAGGGAGGTAAGTCTATTTTATATAATTGTCATTTTTCATATAGATAGATAGATAAATAGATATGAACAACCTCAGAGAGATAGATAAGTAGATAGATAGACAGATAGATACAAGGATAGAAATGAACGAAAACTGGGGTAGATAATAATAGAATGAGATAGATAGATAGATAGATAGATAGATAGATAGATAGATAGATAGATAGATAGATATGAACTGACTGGGACAAAGAGGCAGATTAAAACATAGATAGATAGATAGATAGATAGATAGATAGATAGATAGATAGATATGAACATAGATAGAGATAGAACTAGATAGATAGATAGATAGATAGATAGATAGATAGATAGATATGAACAGGCTAAGATAGATAGATAGATAGATAGATAGATAGATAGATGAACAGGCTAAGATATCTATCTTAGCCTGTTCATATCTCTCTCTCTCTATCTATCTAGATAGATATGAACAGGCTAAGATAGATAGATAGATAGATAGATAGATAGATAGATAGATAGATAGATATGAACTAGCGGAGAGAGTTGGATATGAACCAGCGGAGATAGATAGATAGATAGATATGAACAGGCTAAGATAGATAGATTGATAGATAGATAGATAGATCGGAACAGGCTAAGATAGATAGATAGATATGAACAGGCTAAGATAGATAGATAGATAGATAGATAGATAGATAGATAGATATGAACATATTGGGATAGTTGGATATAAACCAGCGGAGATAGATAGATAGATAGATAGATAGAGAGAGAGAGAGAGAGAGAGAGAGAGAGAGAGAGAGAGATATGAACAGCCTAAGATATCTATCTTAGCCTGTTCATATCTCTCTCGCTCTCTATCTAGATAGATAGATATGAACAGGCTAAGATAGATAGATAGATAGATAGATAGATAGATATGAACATATTGGGATAGTTGGATATGAACCAGCGGAGATAGATAGATAGATAGATAGATAGATAGATAGATAGATATGAACAGGCTAAGATAGATAGATTGATAGATAGATATTTAGATCACATCGTGATAGATATATAGATAATTCTGCAAACGACCAAGTGCAAGTTTTGATTTTATGCTGTAATTAAAAGAACTGAGTGAGGAGTGTTCTTGTACAATCTGCCGTTCTCATAACTCAATAAATAAAAGTCATAATATTTTACAATTGCGCAGGAGTCATAGGAGTGGGCATATTCACTATGATCTAAATGTTATTCTTGTACACCTTGAAAGCCGAACATGATTGATGTTTATTAAGAAAAAAACTTCAATTAACAAAGATAACATATATTAAATAGAGTCTACAAAAATAGAAGATCAGTTCTTATTTATTAAATATTGTAATATCTCTCATACTATTACGGTAGCGTCTAAGTTAACGCGGACAGCAGGATACAGGCATTTTCTTCTAATGACGTCATAAGACTTTTTATGGGAATATCACTTGTTCACGTGATATTTTACGTGATGTCATATCGACCAAAAGTCTCGCCAATGCAGAACAATCAATTATTATATAAACTTTGTCATTACCCATTAGTCTTGTTTGGGATTCCCCTGCTCTTCCCCTAGAGGTACTTGACTCAATCCAGAGGAGGATCTGTAATGTAAAATCGATCCTGACGTGGCATCTTTAATTCAGTCACTTTCTCACCGACGTGACGCGGCTTTCCTCTATCTTTTCTACAATTATTTTCATGACAAATGCACTGATGTGATTTCTTTTTCTTTTTCTTGGACAATTTAAATGCAACCTCAATTGCTTATCTTGAATCTCGTCCATATTTTGTACTTTTCTCAATCCGTACAGTCATTCCTCTCACACTTTTTCCTCTCACTTTCACTCACTATAATCCCCGCCGTATATATGAAGAAATATAGTTTGAAGGCGTGCTATATTTATGGGATAAAGTGCTCAATATGAAAGACAGAGCGTAGGTAAATATAAATATAAAAGTGAACATTGAAGTCAACACTCAGAGGTGACAGGCTGTTTCATGCTGGACGCAATCGTCTGTCGCTTCTGAGTGTTGACTTCAATGTTCACTTATATATATATATATATATATATATATATATATATATATATATATATATATATATATATATAGGTGTTGTGGTAGGATCCACCTAATTTGCATAGTGGGAGTACCGACCATAAAAATATGGTTGGTACCAGGAAGAGAGGGAGGAATCAAGAGATTTAACCCGAGACTCTGCCCGACTGCGACTCAGTCAACACATTCTCCAGGAACGGTCTTACCAGGAATATACAAAAGACTATATGTAAATATTGTGTACACTTTCTTGTTTCAATACATTTTGTTCTAAATACATTTTGTGTTGCATTATTATTCCATGCATTAGTCAAGTTTCAACAATAGGATAACTCTATATGAATTTTATATAAATTTTTTATATATCAAGAATAGTATTGAAAGATGTACGACAAAAAGGCGAAACAATTTAGCATACAACTTTTCTCTCAATGTATATATATATATATATATATATATATATATATGCAGAAATATAGTTTTAAAGTGTGCTATATTTATAGGATAAAGTGCTCAAAATCAGAGATAGAGCGTATGTAAATATAAATATAAAAGTGAACATTGAAGCCAACACTCAGATACGTCAGGCCGCCCTATATATATATATATATATATATATATATATATATATATATATATATATATATATATATCAAATTAAATAGCCCAGGAGCTACCCAAAGTAGGGGTTAAAGTTTAGTGTTGAATGAGCAAAAGAAAGGACAAGAAGTGATAGTTAGGGGTAAATAAAAGAAAAAACAACAGTGTACCCGAGGCTTCAAGAGCTCGGGATTATTGTAATTGGGACAACATCATGTGGCGAAGCAGAAGTTCTTCGGAATAACCTCTCAGAATAGTACTTAATTCATACTGTAGGGATGCGAAGCGGAATGAAAATGAAACACTCTTGTGTACCTGGCACCGTGGGCTACTGTTGTAAACATCGGGTGTGGTAGTACTAAAGAATATAAAAGCATTGAGAAGCTTTCGTCTGTCGGAAGAGGATTTTAGGGTGGAAATAATAATTCATCACACAAAAGGCCATGTAGGAAGTTTCGAACTCAGCACAAGCAAGTCAGGATTTGGCACCTCTAACCCAGTTATGGCAGCAATGGTCTGTTTTTGTCTTATGTGGCTCTTGTAGATGGATAGATAGTTAGATAGATAGATAGATAAGTATGAACAAGCTAAGATAGATAGATAGTAGCAGTTCTTGGCAAGGATATCTCCTAATAGAACTTACTTCTTACTATATGAATACGAAGGGAATGTGGCTGATACACTCTTGTGTAAGTGGCATAGTGGCTCCCCGATGTAAAGGTCGGGGCTGGTGGGACTAAAGGAGGTAGTTTGTCAGAACACAGGACATGGAAGTAACGATAAATCAAGGAGACGCTTGAAAGTTTCATCTGTGGAAAAACGTTTTCAGGGTGGAAATAATTAATCACCCACAAGGCCGCATAGACGGTTTTGAACTCAATACAGGCAAGTGAAGGTTAGAAAATCCCAGCACACCATTTTTGATCTGATCTGGCTGTTGATAGATAGATCGATATATATGAGCAGGCTGATAGATAGATAGATAGAGATGAACAGGCGGATAGATAGATAGATAGATAGATAGATAGATAGATAGATAGATAGATAGATACGAACAGGCTGATAGATAGATAGATAGATAGATAGATAGATAGATAGATAGATAGATATGAAAAACGGATAGATAGATAGATAGATAGATAGATAGATAGATATGAACAGGCGGATAGATAGATAGATAGATAGATAGATAGATAGATAGATAGATACGAACAGGCTGATAGATAGATAGATATGAAAACGGATAGATAGATAGATAGATAGATAGATAGATAGATAGATAGATAGATAGATAGATAGATAGATAGATAGATAGATAGATAGATAGAACAGATAGATAGATAGATAACAGGCTGATAGATAGATAGATAGATAGATAGATAGATAGATAGATAGATATGAACAGGCTAAGATAGATAGATAGATAGATAGATAGATAGGAACAGACAAGTGAAGACTAGGCAGCACCAACCCCGATGATGTAGCAATACTCGATTCTTGTGAAGATAGACCATAAGGATTGGGACAGATATTTGCAGGTGCGTTACAATGAACCGATCATTCGTTCCAACTTCTTTATCAGTAGATTGGTTACATCAGTTACAATTGATATTTGAGTAAAGTCTGAATCCCATTCACAATCCGAATCATTGTTACGTTGAGAAGATACAAGACCTAAATATTTCTATTGGTTACCTTGTCAGTAGATTTAAAAGCCTTTTCTTGGCTTTGTCAACATCTAGGAATTATATTGAATACCAAGTTCATTCACTATAAGAAAATCTATAACAAATATGTTTCTCGGGGGATAGCTCACCATCAGTTTAAAAAATACAATCATTGCATTGTCACTCCAACGAATCCATCTTAAACAACAATTTAATCAAAGATGGAGTATGGTCATTAACATAAAAAAAAAACATTGCTTTCACTAAATTTGTCAATACCCCCAAATTGTCTGATTCAACATAAGATTGAGAGGTCCTTGGACAAATATATTTCTTGAGGGTATTGTTGCGAACGTGTCTAAAAAAAAACTTTTCCATGTATTGTCAATATCTACAAATTGTATTGAATCAGATTTTGTTGCATTATATGTGTAAAACGATCAAAAACAAAAATGTTTCTCACGGGAAATATTGTTAACAGATTAAAAAAAAAAAAACAAGCAATCATCGCTTTCATTAAAGTTGTCAGCATGTCTCTTTGTGCTGTGGAGTATTTTCACAGTGGAGGCTTGTATTTCTAATAAGTTGTCCTAAATTAGGTCCGACGTACAAAATGTTAGGAACTTGGAAAATAAGAATCAATGGCGCAGCAATCTAGTTGTGATGGTTGGTACTTCAAATGTCCGAATCTCGACTGACGCACTCAACACCATTCAGTATTTATCGTTCCACCCACGAGGACCGAATATGGCACAAGGCCGGTTTTAATGTGGGTATCCCCGAGCCCGTCGGCCCGGCCAAAAATATAGCCTTTGAACCCGCCTAGACGGGTTCAGGCCCTGTCTACCTCCCCGGACGAAACCTTGCCCTTCGGCAAAGCATCGTCCGGGTTCCTCTCTGCTAACGCAGAAAGTTCGACAGAAGGCGTGCGCAGTCAGAGACGGCTCAACACCATTCGGTATTTATCATTTCACCCACGGGAAACGAATATGGCACAAGGCCGGCTTTATTGTGGGTTTCTCCGAGCCCGTAGGCTCGGCCAAAAAAATAGCCTTTTGAAGCCGATTAGACGGATTCAGGCCCTGTCTACCTCCCCGGACGAAACCTTGCCCTTCGGCAAAGCCTCGTCCGGGTTCGACAGGAGGCGTGCGCAGTCAGAGACCGCTCAACACCATTCGGTATTTATCTTTTCACCCACGGAAAAGAATATGGCACAAGGCCGGTTTTTATGTGGGTTTCCCCGAGCCCGTAGGCTCGGCCAAAAAATAGCCTTTTGAAGCCGATTAGACGAGTTCAGGCCCTGTCAACACTCTCCCGGACGAAACCTTGCCCTTCGGCAAAGCTTCGTCTGTTCCTCTTCTAACGCAGAGAGTTCGACAGGAGGCGTCCGCAGTCAAAGACCGCGAGATGCCATTCGGTATTTATCTTTTCACCCACGGAAAAGAATAAAGGCCGGTTTTTATGTGGGTTTCCCCGAGCCCGTAGGCTCGGCCAAAAAATAGCCTTTTTGAAGCCGATTATACGGGTTCAGGCCTGTCTACCTCCCCGGACGAAACTTTGCCCTTCGGCAAAGCCTCGTCTGGTTCCTCTCTGCTAACGCAGAGAGTTCGACAGGAGGCGTCCGCAGTCAAAGACCGCGAGATGCCATTCGGTATTTATCTTTTCACCCACGGAAAAGAATATGGCACAAGGCCGGTTTTTATGTGGGTTTCCCCGAGCCCGTAGGCTCGGCCAAAAAAAATAGCCTTTTGAAGCCGATTATACGGGTTCAGGCCCTGTCTACCTCCCCGGACGAAACTTTGCCCTTCGGCAAAGCCTCGTCTGGTTCCTCTTCGCTTACGCAGAGAGTTCGACAGGAGGCGTCCGCAGTCAAAGACCGCGAGATGCCATTCGGTATTTATCTTTTCACCCACGGAAAAGAATATGGCACAAGGCCGGTTTTATGTGGGTTTCCCGAGCCCGTAGGCTCGGCCAAAAAATAGCCTTTTTGAAGCCGATTAGACGGGTTCAGGCCCCTAACGAAACTTTGCCCTTCGGCAAAGCCTCGTCAGGTTCCTCTCTGCTAACGCAGAGAGTTCGACAGGAGGCGTCCGCAGTCAAAGACCGCGAGATGCCATTCGGTATTTATCTTTTCACCCACTGAAAAGAATATGGCACAAGGCCGTTTTTATGTGGGTTTCCCCTGAGCCCGTAGGCTCGGCCAAAAAAATAGCCTTTTGAAGCCGATTAGACGGGTTCAGGCCCTGTCTACCTCCCCCCGGACGAAACTTTGCCCTTCGGCAAAGCCTCGTCTGGTTCCTCTTCTTAACGCAGAGAGTTCGACAGGAGGGCGTCCGCAGTCAAAGACCGCGAGATGCCATTCGGTATTTATCTTTTCACCCACTGAAAAGAATATGGCACAAGGCCGTTTTTATGTGGGTTTCCCCGAGCCCGTAGGCTCGGCCAAAAAATAGCCTTTGAAGCCGATTAGACGGGTTTAGGCCCTGTCCACCTCCCCGGACGAAACCTTGCCCTTCGGCAAAGCCTCGTCTGGTTTCCTCTGCTAACGCAGAGAGTTCGACAGGAGGCGTCCGCAGTCAAAGACCGCGAGATGCCATTCGGTATTTATCTTTTCACCCACTGAAAAGAATATGGCACAAGGCCGTTTTTTATGGGTTTCCCCGAGCCCGTAGGCTCGGCCAAAAAAATAGCCTTTGAAGCCGATTAGACGGGTTCAGGCCCCGTCCACCTCCCCGGACGAAACCTTGCCCTTCGGCAAAGCTCGTCCGGGTTCCTCTCTAACACGCAGAGAGTTCGACAGGAGGCGTCCGCAGTCAAAGACCGCGAGATGCCATTCTGCCAGACTTGCCACTGCTACTCATACTTATTATCTATGGGAGAGTCCATTACAATAGAATAGGTACCTAACACTTTGTTGAATCGATTCTTAATTCCAACAATTTTAATAAAATCTGCTTCTATTGATCTTTAAAGTGAAAGATGGCGGGTAGCAGTAGCGATTAGCAGACCACTGAACGTATGGAAGATGACAAGATCTAGTATGCTCCTCGGTCAGTTATGTGTCATGCTTAGGCGATACATGACTGACGAGGTAGATTTTTGCCGCAGTAAGTTGCCATTTCTTTCTTGCCATCCAAGGCTATAGAACCCAGTCTGTCTTGCTATGTGCAATTAGCTGGAGGGAAAAGAAGGGTATTAGCACGTAAGTGAATGTAACGGATTTGACTGGAATTCGAACTCGGCTCTCCGATTCCTCAATCCGAGCCGCTATCCATTACTCCAGCTCTGATGCTCATGGTGAACTGTTGTTGTTGTTGTTGACACCTGCACTTATCCGAGCATCGGGAATGTCATTCCCTTTCTATTTCCTAGTGGCAGTGGCCGAGATGGCCGTGAATCATTATTCCCATGATTTTGATTTTGGTGGACAACACTGCGCCACGGAGGTGCCCCCACACTTGGTCAGGAGCGCATCCCTCGCATCTACAAACTTGAAAATGCATACTCATACATAGAAAAATGTTACGCTTCTACCTGCAATAAATAAGAAAATGACAACAGAATAAAATCATTGGCGAATGTTAAAAATATGTGTATAATAAATGATAGGTAAAGAAATCGACGATACTGAACCAATAGTCAATGATAAACAAACATTACGACTCGAGATGCATTTCCTACATTGAGAAGCTTTCGTCTGTCGGAAGAGGATTTTAGGGTGGAAATAATTCATCACCCAAAAGGCCATGTAGGAGGTTTCGAACTCAGCACAAGCAAGTCAGGATTTGGCACCTCTAACCCACTTATGGCAGCAATGGTCTGTCTTTGTCTTATGTGGCTCTTGTAGATAGATAGATAGATAGATAGATAGATAGATAGATAGATAGATAGATAGATAAAATCTTAAAAATAAAGTACTTCTTCTTTCGTAAAAAAGAGAAATGTTACGCTAAAATATAAATAACGAATACGCCAGTGAATATGTAATTAAACAAATCTTTCTTTCTTTTTATGTGCCAGGTTCTTTCAGGACGTAGGCGATCATGGCTCTCCACTTCTCCCTAACCCTTTGCAGCTCTAAACAAGTTCCTTCCCTCTGCTTCCTCCCCCAGACTACGTTCTGTCATCCACTTACTTAAGCCCGCTAGGTATGTCATGCGTTGTTTTCTCTTGTCTCTCTTTCCCTCTATTCGACCTGTGAGTATCTGATTCTCCAGGCACTCCTTCCTTATTACGTATCCCAGAAACTTCAGCTGCCTCTTTCTGATGTTAAGTATAAGCCTCCTCCTTGTGTGCATCCTCTCTAAGACATCATCGTTGCTCACACGCACGGTCTATGATATCCTTTACAGTCCTTCTGTAGAACCACATCTCCGTCGCCTCGAGTCTTTTCATCATCTTTGTGGAGATCGTCCAGCATTCGCTGCCCTAATGAAAGACAGATGTCACGTAACAGCTCAGTCTTCTTTTCTTTGTTACGAAAGAAGTCCTCCTCTCTCGCGATAGGCTGCTCAGCTTTTGAAATGCGTCCTTGGCCGTCTCAACACGTCTACGGATCTCAGTGTTACACGTCAATGCTTTAACTGCTTCTAATATAACAATTCCTAGTGATAAGAGACATTCTTAAATAAAGTAAGTAAACTTGCTAAAATACTTCTATTAAAATCCAAACTAGTTTTACGATATTAATATTTGTTTAGATTAAAATAGGAAGAAACTATGTCTATCATGGCTTGTTATTCCTGGTTATAAATAGGGGGTTCGTCTAAAGACGAAATGACCAACATGTTGCTCCGTCCAACATTGCTGGAGGCCAGTACATCTTGCTTTGTTTTGTGATGTCAACGAACACTCGTTGCCACTTTTGTAATGCCAACGATTACCCGTTGTCAGTTTCGTAATGCTCGTCGTAGTAGAGACTTTGCAATCGCCGATACAACTATAGTAACGCCGTTGAACAATACTGGTGTCAGACGCCTTCGAATAACACTCGGACTAATAGTACTTGCTCGATAATACTCGCTCAAAATGTAACCACCGAATGGAGATTCGAATATTAATCCGTTTTGTGCAACCTGCTGAACGAATCTTCGTGTAAGCTCAAGGAACCCTTGTGAAACCTTGTCGCCACTTTTTTGATGTCAACAAATACTCGTTGTCACTTTCGTAATGCTCGTTGCAGTAAAGACATTGTAATCACAATTTTTTAAACATTTCACCCAAGTAAGGCGGGAAGCCACTAGCACGCAAGGGGTTGGTGCAAGATCAGATAGGAGTGATAGAGGAAAGTATGAAGAGAAGGATAGTGGATAGAGCAAGGCGGCAATGACAGTCAGGTGAAGCCACTAGCACGCAAGGGGTTACAGAGAGTTGGAGCTAGAGCAAATAGGAGTGATAGTGGAAAGGATGAAGAGAAGGATAGGGGATAGATCAAGGCATCTGGAGACGTCGATTGACATTACATTTGAATAGTTGGAGATTATAGCTCCCAGAGAAACTGGAATAAGGAAGGGAGTTCCACAGGCGAAAGGTGCGAGATATGAAGCTATTAGAGTAGAAGAGACGGCTACATTTAACAGTTTCAACAGTGAAAGGGTGAGAGCGGGATGCCAGCCTAGTAGGACGCTTGAATTCGCGAAGTCTGGGAACCAGCGAGAGCAGCTCATCGGAGCAATTTGTAAAAAAGACAGAGAGAGGTGACGGCGCGTCTGTGAGAGAGCGACTGTAGACGAGATGCCAGATCAGGGCCAATTAAATTGCATATCCGCCTCTGGAGCCTATCAAGAACCCCGAGGCAAACAGTAGGGGCTCCAGACCATATATGGCAGCAATACTCCATGCAAGGGCGAATGGTTGATTTGAAGGATCGATTCCGGGGAGAAAAATTTCCTGGCGCGGCACAGGGAGCCAACTTTCCTTGCGGTGGACGAAGCAATTGACTCAATGTATTTGTTCCATCTCAGGTCAGCAATCAACGTGAGACCGAGCAGCCGCAGAGAGGTGCTCTCGAGAAGTTGAGCGTCAGACATTCTAATGTGGGGGGGGGGGTGCAGACCTAAAATTAACAATATCGTCGTCACAAAATATTCATCTAAAACCAAAAAGAGGTCAGAGTTCACAGAGTTTGATTTACCGATCGGTCGATCCTCCGCATCTAGCAAGTACGTCAGGGTTAGAAGCGTTTCATGCCTTAGCCTGTACACTTTAATGAAACAGTGAAAACTAAATTAACCTTCATCTAAAGAAGAGGGGCATTTCGACGTGATCTAATGCCCAGTGATCTTTTCTCGCTAAATCAGATACGACGGGTAAGTGAGTTCGAACCTTGTTAGGTTCCAACTACTTTCAACCAAGTGACAGATTTAAGATCTGCTTAGTAAATCACTTCATTATAGAATAGTTCTACGGGCTATAGTCAACCACAGTCACCTTTAGCTGGCTGTGGCCACTGTATATATTTCCCATGTGACTTTTCCCAGTTGTTCGATTTTTCCAACCAATTGTCTATAAGAAACAGACGTAGCCGACTTTAATTTGATTACGAAGTTTTAACTTTGATTACTAAGATATGGCGTAATGGCATTTTAGACTAGGTCGGTAAACATTAACCCACAGCAATGTGGCTAAAAATGAAGTTTTTCCTTTTTTTTTTTTTTTTTTTTGTAGTTACCAGCACGCACTTTATACAGGGTGCGATAGATAAATTGTCCTCTAAGTTAAGAAAAACTTAAAATAATACTGACACCTCATTTTGACAGATATATTTACCAATATTACAAAAAAAAAATTATATATATCTTGAAACATTAAAGAGTAAATTTATTCAATAAAATCGCCATTGGCTTCAACCACTGCCTCCAGACGACTTCGGAATCTCCTGCAACTCTTCTGGGCGGTATTCTTGTTTAAGTTGGTGAATGCTGCCATAATGCTTGCCTTCAGTTCATCTTTGGTCTCACAAGGAGTTTTGTTGGTCTCTTGCTCAACTGCGCCCCACACGTAATAATCAGGGAGTTGCAGTCTGGGGTGTTAGGTCTCTCGATGTAAAGGGTGATGTGGTTGCAGAAATTGCCTGACAGCCATGTCTGGGTCCTCCTGTTTGTGTGGCATTGTCCTGTTGCCAGACAGTGTGTCTTCCAGCAGCCACCCTCATGACTCATAGCAGCACCACCTCCTCAAGGCACTTTATGTAGCCCTGCGTGTTGAATCTGAGGCCATGTGATAAGATGAATGGAGGCATAACGTCGCCGTCACTAGTGAACACTTTAACCATCTTCGTAATCACCATTAGCCACATGCAACTCTTTCCGAATCCTCTGCACTGTCCTCAGACTGACATTCAAACACTTTGAAATGTTCCTATTGGAGCTTCCGACGCGAATGCCAAGCAGTACAGCATGCCGTTTCCAAATTTCTGACAGACTGAATTGCGTCATGGTGTTCTTTTTCTCACAGACGGTGCCCAACTGAACCTACTATGCTGTGCCGTCGACAAAATGAAAAACAAACAACGCGCATGCGCGAAATTAAAAATATAAAATGGCGACAATTTACCCATCGCTACATGTATATTGCTTCGTTTAGCGGCGCTAATTTGTATGTTGCTGCAATAAGTTTCTATACCACTTATTCCTTCATCAGGGTTCGAACTGGAACCGTTTGATCATTACGCCGTTTCGTTTAAAATTACACTACGACATCTCCCTAAAATCCGCCTGGATTTCAGTTTTAGTATTTTTTTATCACTAATCATTTTTCTTTTTTCTGGATTAGTAGAAAAATATATAATCATACTTATTATAAAACCGAGTTTGTCTATGTCTTCTCTCTCCCTCTCTCTCTCTCAGACACAGAGAGAGAGAGAGAGAGAGAGGGAGAGAGAAGGAGAGTGAAGAGGGAGAGATACACACACACACACACACACACACACACAAAAAGACTGACGAAACTTTCTCCCCTATAACTACACCTATTATTTTCTTTTCATTTGCTGGTTAAATAAGATGTCACCATTAGCCGGAGAGATTAACGTGAGTTACCCATATTCCATTTTAATGTCGTGTTAGCATTTTCATTCTATCAATGGGCAAAGAAATATTACAACCACGCTCTGCAACGTTGTCGTGCTTCGTCGTTTTATTTGCGTTTCGTCGTATTTGAAGATGGTACGCTTTCATTAAGATCCATGAAAATGACGTACCGCTGACAGAAAACATTTCCCGGCAATATTTCGATCGCAGACTTAGAGTACTTGATGCACCATCAATATGACAACAGAAGTACCGAGAACGTAACATAGATTTTAAATATTTATATCTGGGTGTGTGTAGCCCGTTAATACATAAAAAAGTATCAGTAAATATCTATCTAACTATCTCGATTTATTAAGCGGTTTTTGTATCTCATATCTATCTATCTATCTATCTATCTATCTATCTATCTATCTATCTGTTTGTCTGTCAGGTAGCATTGACTCCCATATCTATCTATCAGGTGGTTTTGAATCTCATATCTATCTATCTATCTATCTATCTATCTATCTATCTATCTATCTATCTATCTATCTATCTATTACGCGGTTCTTTAATCACATATCAATCTATCTGTCTACCAGGTGGCTTTTGGATCTCATATCTACCAATCAATCTAACTATCTGTATTTATTAAGCGGTTTTTGTATCTCATATCTATCTATCTATCTATCTATCTATCTATCTATCTACCTACCAGCTGGTTTTGAATACTCATAACTTTCTATCCATCTATCAGGTGATTTTTAATCATATCTATCAATCTATTTATCTCTATTTATTAAGCTGTTTTTGAATGTCATATCTATCTATCTATCTATCTATCTATCTATCTATCTATCTATCTATCTATCTACCAGTTGGTTTTGGATACTCAAAACTTTCTATCCATCTATCTATCAGGTGATTTTTTAATCATATCTATCAATCTATCTATCTCTATTTATTAAGCTGTTTTTGAATGTCATATCTATCTATCTATCTATCTATCTATTAAGCGGTTTTTGAATCTCATACCTATCTATCTATCTATCTATCTATCAGGTGGTTTTGAATCTCATATCTATTAACCTATCTATCTCTATTTATTAAGGGGATTTTGAATCTCATATCTATCTATCTATCTATCTATCTATCTATCTATCTATCTATCTATCTATCTATCTATCTTCAGGTAGCTTTGGAATCTCATATTTATCTGTCTGTCAGGTGGGTTTTGATTCTTATGTCTATCTATCAAACGGTATTTGTATCTCATATTTCATAGAATCCTGAAAATCTTTTTTTCGTGCTTTCATTCGTCCGTCGTGGTTTCGCAAAAAAAAATCAAAGAATTTTTGATGAAGGCAGCAGAATTAGTAAAAATCTTGCGAAAAATGAACTCCTAGAATTATCAAACATTTCACAGCAAGCATCAGGCAAGACTGAACGAAACTGAAAGATTAAGACAGTAGTACAAAATAATTTATAGAATAATGATAAGGTTTCATCTCAGAATTTTTAAAACAGTCTTTGCAGACTTGTGTTTTTCCCTTCACCTTTTAGGCCGACGGGAAGAAAAAGTTCATCTTAGATTGTTTGCTGTTATTTTTATTTTTAAAATAGTAGCTATGGAATTTATCTATCAGTGCGGATGCTAGTTAAACTGATTAATAAAAAACTGAAAAAGTGGGGAAAACATTCACCACTATTGATGCTACTTTTTTTCTGTTTGTTCTTTTTCGTCTTGCTTTCTGGAGAGGTGTTGAAAATCGATGATAATACCCGAGACGTTCGCTCATGGCAGCGGCACGAATAAAACAAGTTGGAAGTCGATCAGATTGTTGAAGTCAAATATTCACACAGAGTCAAGTTTTATTGCGCACGCCATATTGTTTTTTTCAGCCTCACTTTCGATATTTATTTTTTTTTTGTCTTTAGTGTTTAGGCTCCTGTTTCTATTACAGATCATATCTATTTTTTTTATCTTCCAAATTTCTTATTTTTATTTCTTGATGTTTGTTTTTTTTAAGAAAGAAGGTTATTATTAATATTATTATTATTTGTATTTAAATATTTAGACAGATAATTCCCAGGATTTCAAGATTGTAGTGGAAACTCGGTTGTAAAATCTGCGATAACTGAATCACAAGATGAATTGTGAGTGATAAGAAAAGAATGAGAGAGCTTCAAATCAGATTATTTGAGTGTTTAAAAATAAATTGAAACGGTATTCCACTAGGAAAATCATTTTATTTTCTATTTCTACTTTTAATTGATTATTCCAGACGATTATCCTCGTATTTTTAAATCAAATGCTAGGCATGAACTCTCGTCTTTATTCGTTTCCGCACGTTCGTACTGGACCCGTATTTCTAAGATTCGTAAATTTTGTATTATAGTTGACTGATTGCACAAACGTTGGCGGGCTGAGAAAAATTCATTGATAATTACAATATTTCATTAGTATTGTGTAAAAAAATTATACTCGTCTTTGTTGATTATGACGCGTAGGAAATACAACAACATACTTCTAGAATGTTACCGAATATGACAAACACCCGAGGAAGACCGAATAACGCTTCGGCCGATATGTGATATAAACAGTATAGACGGGGTTTTGAATGAATCAACGTATAATATGAAATCATCTCAGAGATTCCTTCAAAATGTCTTATATAAGCTAAGAAAATATTATTTTAAAGAAAGGTGTCGTCCAATTTACCCGATAGACACTGTCACCGCTAGAATAATAATTAATGGTCTTTGTCTGGATTTATGAAATGAAGAGTTGCCATTAATTTTTTAATCGATTTCGCCCCAAGCAAGGGATTAAAGCCACTGAGACACAACGGTTTATTGGGCGTGTAAGAGTTAGAAATAGAAAAATAGTCAAAGTGGACGAACAAAAGAAGAGTAATCAGGAGGACTGTAGATAACGATTGACACTACATTTGAATTTGTGCTAACTTTAGTTAGCTGGAAAGCATGAAGCCAGAATGGAGATGCAGTACCATATGACGTTGCATCAAGGTACTGAGTATTCAAAGGGCAGGGAACAAAGACACAATGCACCCTTTCTCCTTTTCTGGTTCACTCTATTTTACTCTTTTGAAAGGTAGTCACCTTACATATGCGTTCCGGGCTCAAAGCCACATCAGCATTACTTGTGCACAGTTGGTCACATAATTTGCTACGTGTTCTTAGTCACACGTTTTCTGTTAAGTACTCTTCTATCCTATCTAAGCGTTAATAGCAAGGTAGACTGAAATCTGTAGCTTTATTTTGCCACCAGTTTAGGAAAAGGACAATTAAGAGTGTGGCTAACAACTCTATTCCATAAAAACGTCATTCACATTGTCTGCTGACCTGAGATGGAGCAAATACATTGAGTTAATAGCTTCGTTCACCGCAAGGAAAATTGGCTCCCTGTGCCGCGCCAGGAAATTTTTCTCGCCGGAGTCGATCCTTCAACTCTACAAATCAACCATTCGCACTTGCATGGAGTATTGCTGCCATATATGGTCTGGAGCCCCTTCTGTTTGTCTCAAGGTCCTTGATAAAATCCAAAGACGGATACGCAATTGGCCTTGATCTGGCATCTCGTCTACAGTCGCTCTCTCACAGACGTGCTGTCGCCTCCCTCTGTCTTTTTTTACAAATACTTTCACGGTAACTGATCCGATGAGCTGCTTTCGCTGGTTCCCAGACTTCATGAATCCAAGCGCCCTACGAGGCTGGCATCCCTTTCACTGTTGAAAATGTTAAATGTAGCCGTCTCTTCTACTCTAATAGCTTCATATCTCACACCTCTCGCCCGTGGAACTCCCTCCCCTTTTCCTGTTTCACTGATAGTTATAATCTCCAACTATTCAAATGTAATGTCAATCGACATCTCCAGTTGCCTTGATCTGTCCACCATCCTTCTCTTCATCCTTTCCTCTATCACTCCTATTTGCTCTAGCTCCAATTTCTGTAACCCCTTGCGTGCTAGTGGCTTCCCGCCTTGCTTGGGATAAAACGCTTAAAAAATTATATATATATATATATTTACAATGAGCAGAACAATGGATTTTTTACAAGATATTGACTGTCATGGCCGCCTTGCCACGGTGCAATGATTATACCACTAAATACACCAAATCTACCACAATGAAGTGAAATAGCACTGGATATTTAGTATATGTAACCTTGTAACTGACTAAGCTAAATCTGGTAAATATATATTTCAAGAAACATCCAATCGTCAGCAAGCATGTCTTGCCGATAAGTACGACAGTGGTGAATTTGTGGAGAGAACACGGCACAAAAAAAAAAAGAAAAAAAGAAAATGCCTTGTGTTACACTTAGCTAAAGTTAGTTAATACTGGTAAAGGTTTTGTCTATATTTCTGAGATGAAGTATTATGTACAGTATTTACATTAGTCGGACTATTGTCCTCATCTTTGTCGCCATATCTGTCACAACGTTTCGGCCGTTGTACGCTCCGGCCTTCTTCAGGTGGTTGAAATTTCGAACTGAACCCTTTATTTCGCTCACTGGGGTAGACTGTTCTAGTTCCACGTGCCATGTTTGATGGATGTCAGTTATCAGTTATCTCCTGTTAATTTTCCCTCTGAAAGTTCTCCACTGCCTTAACCAGGTATTGAACTCACCTTCTTTGGGTCTGTCACTGGATCTAACCAACGCCTTTATCCACTGTGCCATGTCTCCTTGAGGGTTCAGTTCGAAATTCCAACCACCTGAAGAAGGCCGGAGCGTACAACGGCCGAAACGTTATGACAAATATGGCGACAAAGATGAGGACAATAGTTAGACTAATGTAAATACTGGTAAAGGATTGTTTTAAAAATCATTTCGCCTTAAGCAAGCCGATAATGCCACTAGAACGTAGGGGGTTACTGTGAGTGAAAGAGAGAAAACTTTAGTAAGGAGAAGCATATCGAAAGGACAATAAAAAGAACAGGTTTCAGGAGGACATAAAATGGCGATTGGCGTTTCCGTTAAAACTTTGAAGATTGTAGACAGAGGGGAAATAATAAATTGGAAGGAATTTCCAACAGGGGAGAAGTGCGGAAAAAGAAATTATTAGAACAAAACATGCAGTTACATTAGGAAGTTCAACAATAAAACGGTGAAATATAGTTGGCAATCTGATAGTGATTTTCACAGCTTAGATGTGGCAAAAGGCCGAAAGTATGGGACACCCAGTTGGCAATCGAATAACACTCTTGGATTCATACAGTCGATGCGTCAAGGAGGAAAGCTCATGACGGCAATTGATAGGAAAATATTTCTAGAAAAATCAGAAGGGCGAGGGGGTTTCAGATCACGTTGGTGGGAAACCAACTGGATCGATGACATTAAAGACTCTTCTTTTAATTTTGCCTTGAATCTCGAAATCTTTAGTAAAAGCGCCGGACCAGATATGGCTGCGATATTCAAAGCTTCAGAAGTCAGATTGTCAGGTGAAATGAAATTTAGCGGGCTAAACGCAAAAAAAAAAAAAAAAGCGGGAAAGCTTTAGCGAATGGGTGAGTAAAATATGAAGGAAAAGCGTCGGGCATTATCCGATTTTCAAAAACAGAAAAAGGAGACCGTCCAGAAGAGATGTAGGAAATTCCGAAGTTCTCGGGAGGCCGTGGTTGAAGCCAATGGCGATTTTATTAAATAAATTATCTCTTTAGTATTTCAACGTGTTTTTGTGAAATTTTTTTGTAAATATATCTGTTAAAATGAGGTGTCAATGTTATTTTCATTTTTGTGTTATTTAGACTACAATTTATCCATCACGTCCTGTACACACACACACACACACACATTTAGAATCGTTCATACAAAAAACAAATATAGACGTTAATGATTTAAATGGCGAGAATACATTTATCCAACTCCCCGAACCTGTCCTGAATGATATGATCCCCGTTTATAAATTCCAGTTGAATAAGGTCTTTTAATTTTTTTACACACACTGTTCCTACAGACATCATCAGGTATGGAAGTAGATTTTTGTTTTGTAAATACTTCTCAGTAATAAGAGGACAACGAAAATATAGATGTAACCGCACCTATAATCGAAATTAAAATAACTGATCCAACGTGCAACTTTCGGATAATAAATGTGACATTACTGTAATTTACCGGTAAAAAAGAATTCTCTTATTATTATATTTGTACAAAAACGCACAACCTTAAAATTTAAAATCCAAACTCAGCGTTGCGACCGCACGTTCCAAAACAATAACACATTTCTCATAGCATTTTCTCGATTACATCTATATTTCATTGATTTATCT